AATTCCAATAGCCGGAATTTAGAGTCGATCTTCTTCAGCGCTTGTTCCAGCTCCGACATGTTGTTTACACGTTATCTGTGCGCTGTGCTGTGTTTTTTACGGGTACAAATCGATATCAAAGTTTTGAATATCTTCAGTCGGTCCTGGCAGGGTCGCCACTTTTGTCGGGAATCGGTTTTCGTCGACAAAGAAACTCACAATTTCTTGATTTTAACAGTTTTAATGGCCCAGCACTCAGCCTAGCTGTCACAATTCTCCTACTCTCTCACACTCCCACTACTCGTCTCATATATCAAAGGACTCAAAGTTCAAAACGGGCGAATTTGACGTCTAGCTGTCATCACCGGAAAACAGAAACTTGCGTAACGCAACTCGCAGTCACGACACTATTATTATTATTATTATTATTATTATTATTATTATCAATACTGCCCGCTCTCAGAACCAATCAGATTGCAGGACGCACGAGCGGCCACTAATGTCTGTAACGTGTTTGAAAATTATCCAAGATTGTATTGTAGCTTTTGGGTCACGTGTCTTCAGTTTGACAGCAGTTTTGTGAGAATTAATGAGTTTAATCACGCGAGATCGCCTCTCAACCGTAGAAAAAGAAGGAAAACAGATATAGAGTACGGTGACACTGAAAGAATTTCCTATAGTCATTCCCGGCGAAGGTATCTAACTCATTCTGCACTGGGAAAGAAATCTGGTGGTCATTGTGACCAATATTTGAAGTCAAACAAATTATCCCTGCACGGAACTCTGGGTGTGAGATGACATTATTGAGGAATGACAAACACCCCCACCATTTCTTTCTGAGCCGTCAACAAAGGACAATTCCTAAATTTTTCGAGGTACTGAATGATCAACATTTAGGAATTAACATAGTTTCTTTGCAAAGATTTTTTGTCCACTCTATTTAGGGATGCCCCACCTTTGTTGCTAGTAATACAGGCTTTAGGACTATTGCATCTCCACCAAAAGTCCATTTTACAGTTGTGTGCTTGGTTGCCAAGCCTTTGAACGGGAGTGAGGCTAGAGATGACCTTGTTATGATACAAACCTTGCTGTCTTTCAAATGTAAATCACTTTGTTATCATGCTAACTAGATACAGGTCTCTATCACAACAAGGTCATCTTTAGCCTCACTCTGAATCAAAGGCTTGGCAACTAAGTATACAACTGTAAAATGGCCTATTGCAACAGCGAGATGAGCGATATAAAATGACTATGCTTGTTTATCTTGGTTTGTAATGTAGCTTTTGGGCCACGTGTCTTCGGTTTTGACATCAGTTTTGTAGAATTAGTTAGTTTAATCAAGCGCCGGATCGCTTCTTAACCGTAGAAAAGGGCGTAAAACAAACGGACAGAGTATGGTGACCACTGAAAGAATTTCGTACAGTCATTCTCGGCGAAGATATCTAAAACTCACTCTGCACTGGGAAAGAAATCTGGCGGTCAGTGTAACCAATTATTGAAGTGAAGCAAATTACCTTTACGCGGAACTCTGGGTGTAAGGCGACGTTGTTGAGAAATTATTAACACCCCCCACTATTCCTTTCTGAACCGTCAACAAAGGACAATTCCTGAATTTTTCTTGGTACTGAATGTGTTATTTTTTTTGTTGTGTTTTTAACGCATGCAAATTAGAGCGTGCGTGACAAACGATGGAATCCGTGTATGATACGCACCACGATTTTGATGGTTATTTTTGTAGAAAAAAGTGCGTATTATACACGGGTAAATACGGTAAGACAATTGCCCAGTGTCTTTTTCATTTTTTACCGTCATGATTTCCGTCATATTTTTCTTCTTCTTTATCCATCCTTTTTTTAGTGGCCACAGGAATGCCTGTTTATGAACCTTTTTAAGGCTGGGAATAAAAATGAATCTCCTTGATTACGCGCACTAAATGTGTGAGTTTGAGTTATAAAGAATAACTGCACTGAAAAAACATCTAAACAATTCAGCATCGGACGGTCTCAGTACAACAATCAGACATGCGAAGTTTTTTAGCTTTCAACATGAAAGACTGGAAAAGTGCGTTGTGACATTTTGAAAAATTTCACTTTTTCTCCCACCAAGAAATTCTTAGTAAGTAAGTAAGGACTTTATTTATAGAGGGGGACACGTAACAGCTGTATAGCTGACAAACCTGTGGCCCTCTAACTAGATTATACGACATTACAAAAAACTGATAAATAAATAAATATATAGATAATTACATGTGGCCCTATAACTAAATTATACAGCATTAGTAGTTACTGAGTTCCTATACTTTTATGCGTGACGTCACTATACAAGTATAAAACGACACTACTGTGGAGCGACGACAACAAGCTTTGTTTTTTTTTTTTAATGGAGTAAATGTACTGATTTGATAGAAAAATAGAAGCTACCTGGGAATAAGTCTTCAATAGTTTTACTTTTAGTAAGCAAGTCCTCTTGTAACTGAAAACGTTCCTTCGGAATGTGCAATTTTTTCGTCGCTTTGACTGTATCATAAACTTTTAAACACGAAGGCGCGCTATAGAAGGAAGTTTTCCCTGGGAAGACCTAGGCTCATTTCTCACTCACCGTTGACGTGTGCGGGTCAAATTTAAATGTTGGTAGACGAACAAAAGGAGCTAATGAGATATCTATTGTTTACTTCCACAAGCATGGTGGCATGAGGTAACGTGCGAACCGGCTCAAGCTGACTTGACTCCAAGAGTTCTATATCACACGACGGTTGATTGACAAATGGTCCAGTGGGACCTAAGGCTCTTTTTATAGCGCGCCTTCGTGTTTAAGGAAATAGGCGGGCACCTGTGTCCACTTTTCTTTAGGTTATCGAGGGTCTCAGTGGAGTTAACCGTTAGCCGTAAAACGGCTAAGTAAGTAGCTCGTACGAAATTATCCACTCTAGTATACTACATTTCATAAAATACTTGAGCTACCGTCAAACCATTTATCACACCAGTAACCCATTGAAAATTGAAGTTTAATTTTTTAGAGGCAATAGACCGTCCTTGCTATCGGTTTACCAGCTTCATAAACTTTTCTCGTTTTCTCCCAACATCGACAACCTGCGTGGTTTGTTACGTCGATAATCTGATAGATAGATAGACCGGTGTATTGCGTAAGTTGCCGTGTGGTTGTTTTAATGAAAAAGTATTTTCAACAGTTAATTTAAATTGTATTAATGGAGCCCGTGAAAGGTCAAAATAAACTTATCAATCACAAAATGTCCTTTATTTCTGCTGGGCTTTACCTATTTAACGCCTCTTACACACACAGAAACCGCGAACTCATTAAAGTTAGACATTTACCGCTTTCATTCAATAAAATTTACCAATAGTACTTTTATATTTCATAACCCCCGGGCCCTACCTCTAACGAAGTTTCGGTTTTAAAACGAGAAAGACAATAGATGGCTTTATTATCCAACTACATTTCCGTAGAGTACGCATTACACCTAAGATTAGCACAAACGTCTCGCGGTATTTGTACTCAAGAGAACCGGTTAGACAGGTTTTTCTCGCACCTTGTAAGCTACAAAAAAAATGGCGGACAATTTAAATCATTTTTCTGACGACGAAGAGTCGGAATTACTGGCAATTATTGATCCAAATTTATTAGATAAATCGAACGACGAAAAGCAGTTAGATGACTGTGAAATTTCATCATTTTTTGAAGAAAATAGAAACAGTAACACGACAACGCGCCAATTCCGTTCCGCTTCGCATACTTCTGTCACACACTCACTGTCATTAAATATCCGCGAAATTCGCCTGCACTGAAATAACAATTTGGCATGTTGGATAATAAATAACTTATTTAGCGTTTTGGTGTGTCATATGGCTGAATATTTTACTCGTTATTTATATTTTGACTCGACCAACGGGGTCGTCAAAATACGGCATAACTCGTTAAAAATACTCGGCGATACTACTCAACAAAACGTCTAATAAGGGGCCGACCATTTAACTTTTGGGGGGGTGGGTGATTTTGAAAAAAATTTCCAGCAAGCGCTTGTTGGAAGAAAAAAAATTGCATGCAGCCCAAATGTAATAGAAAAAATGTACCAAAAAATCGGAAAAAAGTATCCTGCACAGCAGATTGCTAGAAAAAAAATTTCTTGATGACCAGAAATCACCCACCCCCCCTCAAAAGTTAAATGGTCGGCCCCTAAGATATATGTATTCAAAATTTTTGAGATGCATATTGGCTAACCAATTCAAAAACACGGTAAGAAAAAAAAAAAATATATATATACTTACTCAAGAAAAAGAAAATACATATACACTTACTCAAGCTTATTACACACAAACATGAGTTAAATTTGCATATGTCAGCTCTTGCACAATCAGTTTCCTCATTCAAGTTCGCGACCAAATATTTCTCATCATTTCAAATGGCCATCTTGGATCCTCCATGTCGCGGAAAACGTTTGCCAGGAGATCATAACGGGCTCCTTCCATTGTAAAATTCGTAAAAGTGAAGGAGTCACCTTCTCCACCGTTGTTAAACAGATTTTGATGCAGTCTCGAGAACCGGAAGTGAGGCAGATCGCTACCGTGCAATGGTTCTTCGCTTTCGGAGGCTGTACGAGAACCCTGAACGCCTTCTCTCTCTTGGATACACTGTTCCTGGTGTTCCATCAGTCTATCAGATGGACATAGCTCGGCACAAATTTCACAAGGTAGAGCAACAATGCTGTTGTCTTCACTTTCGGTTTCGATATCGTCGTCCGTGTCCGAGCTTGTGAAATGGTCAGGCGTTCGTACCACTTCACGAAACACACCATCAACATCTTCCACAACAAGAGGGATATGTAAATCTTCTGTTTCCTCCAGACGCTGGCAATCACGTTGATGAGCATCAAGTTCATCTAGCTGCATCAGCGATCCACAGAATTCACAAGGCAGGGACACGGGCAGATCAAGTCGCCTATCGTTACTTCCTCCATCGCATGCACTCTCATGATTAACAAAGTCCCTAACCAAGACATATCGACTGCACTCGTGGCAGAATTCCGTTCTAGATCCGCAGAATTCTTGGTGCTCTCTCATTCTTTCTCTTGGTAGCCTCAGTTCACAGTATGGGCAAGGAATGGGTCGCTTACCACAGTCATTGGCCAAGTGATTGCCTTCTTCACTTCTCGTTGTTTTCTGTCCGCACTGAACACAGTTTATTTCTGCATGATTCTCCTCGAAGTGCTGTTTCTCTTCGCCCCTCAGTATCGCTTCTCCGCACAGCGAACAAGATACGATGTTTCTTTTGCAGTGTACGAAGTGTATTTCGTAATTTTCTGAGGGAACTCGTTTGTTGCAATTTTCACAAATCGTTCCTTCGTTGTCCATGTTTGTGACGACGCGTTCAATTAAATCTCCTCCCTTTTACCGATGGACGGTTCCTTGATTTCACAGTTGGTAGAATGAAACTGCTTGATCATTGCTATTGTCTTTCGATTTATACTGTATATTACCTCATTCCCTTAATTTAGATGCTCTCGACAGTTTCCCAAATCCGCTCCATCACCGAATTAGTAACTTCACGATAATACTAGAAATTTCTTGAATTATATTCCAGTCCTCTCGCTCTTTATCGCTACAAACTTCCGGTGTACCGATATCACTGAGGCAAATTACTCATATTTCTGAACGGCGACTAACGCTGTCAGGCACAAAGGTCTTGAAGGACTCGATTTCCTGCCACTCTCGTTTGCCAACTAGAGAAAATTTCCACTTCTCTTTGCTTCATAGAAAATTTAGTCTCTTACTTATAGTGCTTGAGGTTGAATCAGCACGGATATCCGATAGATGGGAAGGATGGAAGGTTTCAGTCTTGGTGGGAAAAATTTTGCTACAGTATGAAAACTTAGCCACGGAAAGATTCGTTTCACTTCATTCAAATACCTCTTACCTTTGTTTATTCCACAGAATCTTTTTCTTGAGTCCAAGAAAATTTGCATGGCAGTTAAGTTTTAAGCTAGTGGTTTTATTCTGGAAAATGTCAGTTTGGATTCTGGCCGAGTCATTGTCTTCAGAAAAGGAAGTCATGACAAAGTGTTGCTGAAAGCCTTTGATTGAAAGTGAAGGCAACTGGTCACATTCTATACTTAAAAATATCTCTTTTAGAGGAGAAGGTACAGTTGAATTGTTAGAAAATAGAAAAGTGCTTACAATACTTTCTAAAAATATACTTGTCTAAAGATGGTGTGGTTTGAAGCATTGGTAAAGAAAAACTGCTCACAATCTATACCTTTTTTGGAAGAGATGCAATGGTTTGAAGGATTGGAGTTTTAAGTAAAACCCACACAGATCTTTTCATGCTCGGTAAATTTATTATGTGTATGCTACAATACCAGCACAGATTAACACGGATAAATAAAATAATTTACTGTTAATGAAATGGTGTTGTGTAATATGCCGAGTCACTTGGAATAATTCTTGTGAGGTAATCATGCCTGCAGAGTAAGATTTATTCATTCAGGGTTTAGTGTACTTGGCAGTAAGTTTAGTTCTGTTAATTCATTTAAGTTTGACTGTATAAATAAGTGGCATGAGGAAACTGTGCCACAATAACAAAGGTTCATTGTCATAAACTACCTCAAACTGTGGTGTTTCCCTTCAACAAAGAAAATAAATATTCCCATTACTTGGAAAAATTCACAGATGAAACTGCAATATAGCTTAACAGCCCTTTACGAAAGTTACACAAAAAGACAAGACTATTTTGCCAAAAAGTCAGAGAGAATCCTTTTCAATTACAATGTGGAACAACATGATTGATAGGTGGTTTTTTTCAAACACTCAACTGGTTTGTCGAATTCATGCAAAATCAGACCAAATGCATTGCAATACAAATGACAAGTTGTTTATCATTTTATCAACTTCACAGATCAATTGTTTTTGACCTGTAGTATGTCAGTATACAAGATAAGCTTTTGGTTCTTTTCAAAAGGTGAAAACATTAACTAGATATTACAATTTAACAGACATAGTATCTTGTGCTCTACAACAGTAGGGGCCATTTTAATGGGTAAAATATGCATTTTTTTTTACTGATTTCTGCTTATAATTGTCCAAATGAAAAGTGTTCTCTGTAAGAGTTCCAAGTTATTTGTTTCACATGAATAGCCCCAATGTTCTGTTATGATGTAATCCAGCATCTTATTCTGGGAAATTTCCGAGACAGAAATATCGTACATACCTCTCATCATAGCTAAAAAAAATAAAAACTTATGAAAATGAAAACAAGTACAAATAGTACAGATAATAATTATCAATAAATGTAATTTTAATTAACTAATTTTCTGCACAAAATTACATTTTCTCGTCATGATTATCATGACAAGCTCCAATTCAAATTGCAATTAAAGCAATGGGTACATGTAGCATCCTAGGACTGGATTAGTAGGCTTTCTAACTTTTTTCCTTTGCAACATAATTTAAGGGTAGAAAATTTGAAATCTGTCCCACCCCAGACAACACACAGGAATTTGACTGTTGTCCCTGCCGTGGGGGTAAGAATTTGAACTAGTTAAATACATGTGCTTTAATTTCAAAAATGGATGAGTTTAAAGATAAAGAAAGCACATTCCCTTGAAGACAAAGTTTGCATCATAGAGTGATACTTACAATTAAAAATCCAATCAGCAATACCAAAAACTAAAACATGTTTTTGAGAAATTCTAGAATACTCGTTGATCACACAAAGAATTGTTCAAAAACAAATTATGCTTGGATAGGCCATTTGAACAAAATTTTTATTCCAGGGGAGTGGTAATAGGAAGAAATCAATTATCAAAAGTTCATCATATGCCCAGAGAAAGGAGAGGTGGGTGGTGTTGAAGTTAATGTATGGGGTTATATGGTACTCTTTCCGAAGGGAAAGAGTACCATATAACCCCATACATTAATTATGCATTCAGATTAGTAGACTTTGTTTTTAAAGTTTTGTCGTGAAACACAAAGAAGTGGAATGGATAATTAATGTATGGGGTTATATGGTACTCTTTCCATTTTCTGTTTTAACTTTTCAAGAAATGGGCCAGCTAGCTAGGTGATAGAAAACGAAAACTTTCATAGCCATAGGCTAACCTTAAATGCAAAATCAACAGATCTATACAAGTAAAACGTTTTTGAAGCGGTTTTATATACAAAGTTTAAACCATTGTTTACTGTTTGCCATTATTTGGCCCAGATATTTGAAATTTGAATCAAACAGTCAAACAATATGTATTTTTAATGTAATTATCCCCCCCCCCAAAAAAAAAAAAAAATTAATAACGTACTACCAGTAAGAACATCGACCCAAAATAGCGACAACTTACTTGGCCACCAAACACAAAAGACAAAACATTTTGTCGCAGTGTGCACACTGTCGTCTGCAGTCGCCACACGCGTTCCGTTCACAGAACGCACACTTTACACCGCGGCCAGTTTTTGTTTGACGACAACGATCACAGTTAATGCTTTCGTTCGCTATTTCTTCCTTAATTTCACCGTTCTCGTATCTCTCCATTCCGTCTCGTAACGCTTCAAGTGTTTTCGCTGAAAAGATTTCAAAAGTAGAAATTATTTTTGATCGAAACCGATCTTGAAAAACCTTCCCGCAGCAGTTTGCACAATTCTAATTCTCCTTGAAACCTACTGTAGATGTTCTCCATATTGTTCGACTTCTCGAATTCAGTAGTGTTCACATGAGTCTTGAGCTGCATTGGACAGGATTCATCGAAAGGAAATTCCCTTTTAGACATTTTAACTTGCGTTTTCAAACAGTCACCTTTGCCTCGGTGAAGCAAAGTATTCCAAATAATAGGTCAACGGTATCGTTATTTGTAATGGAACAAATCATGAGTCTGCTTATTGGTTAGATTTTCGCGCAAAATCTTACGCTCATCATTTCCCGGATCTTGCGCACGACAACTAAGCGCGGTTCATTTGAAATGGAGTTGCTAACATGGCCTCCACTTTTGAGAAGATTTTAGACGGGCAAATAACGTCGGATGACTTAACCGATTTCTGTCAGATTGTTACTGATGAGGTAAGCTGTATTAAATGAACAGTTCGGCCAATATGTAGGTACGCTGGAGATGCAACAATGTTTTCATCAGCCAGTGCCCAGAGAGCTCACCTTACCAGAGCTTACTGAGGCCACCATGTATAACTAAATATTTATACCGATCAAGGCCGACTGACACTCATTTCGGAATCGAATAAAAAAGGAAATTACTAGAACTGAAGTAATTTGAATTCGTTTACATTTCGCCAGCTTTAAGACAGGACTACATCGTAAACTCTGATTTGATAGGCCCACCGGG